AACTCTGCCAGTCACTAGACAGGACAGACACTCGACTCGTTTTTTTAGACCAATTAGGTGAAAATGGATCATTTCCCACGGCACACCTGACAATATCTCACACTAGTGTGCCGTGGCACAGTGGTTGAAAAACACTGACCTAGAACACCCAATAATGTCCTAATAGGGCTGCTAATAGGTACAGCATTTGAGTGTTCTGATTAAATAAATCTGCTGTGTTTTTGTTTAGTATTTAGGTTGTCATGTTAGATAAGCTACATTTTATTAACCCTTGAGGAGAAAATTTAATTCTGCATCCGACCCACATACGTGATATTTAGGAGCATTGGGCAGCCACAGTGAAGTGCTTCTGGACTAACTCTAATTCTGAGGCCAGAGCTTTGGTCAATCAATTGCAGGACTATTGTTAATGCCTAATATGCATGTGACGAATGTGTTTGGTGTGGGACGTAAGTGCACAACTGCACATAGAGAGGCACCCGCTGACAGGGGACAGTACTACTCACAGTCAGAGTACCGCATTGTGCTTAGTCCTTTCACCCGCGTGTTATGTTGAATGGCAGGCAGATTTTGATCACAAGGGAGGCAGGAGACGGATTTCAATTGTCACGCTACACCAGAGCTGAAGGTTGCTTATGTCAGTGACTTTCAGCATTCAATCACATTAGAGCTCCACACAAGTGGTGAGTTAATGGTATGACCACATAAGCAGTTGCATGGGGATCAGTGCTGCAGTCAGCTAAATGCATGCGCAAATGAGACTTATGTTAGTTGGAAACTGGTTTCTCAATCACAAGTTTTGATTATGCCTTAAATCAGACTTCAGATAGACATTTAAGTTTTCAGCAGGCTGGCAGAATCAGAGAAAAAACAACCAGCAATCGGTAGAAAAACAAGAAATATGCACCAGGTAGGGTAGCTTTTAACTGCCAAATAACAAGACTTGCTTGAAAGGGCATCTGGGGTTGACTGTCAATCAAGGAAGCATTGGTTGCTTGTATCCTTATTGAATTGACTGCATTCAGTTACTTAATAATACATGTAAGAGAAATGCTGCATGGCTGGCAGTGAATGCACAGATATTGACAAAAACAGTTGTGCAACTCTACTCTTAGCCTACTGCCCATGACCACACTCACTCTATTTCCTGTCTTGCCTGCTTTTCGCCATGTGTGTGTGTAAATGTTGCCCTGCCAATTGTCCCTTAAGGCCTAAGCAGTAAGCAACTGACCCCCTTTAATTAACATCATGTGTGCTCGGTGAGAATGTGTGACTACAGGACGATGCAAGGGCTTAAATGCTGTATGAGGAAGTGGACATTTCTGTGAATATTTGGTTTAAAAACCACAGAAACAGTATGTTTGTGTCAGTTGCTGTATTTATTATTTCACCATGAAGCCTGGGTCAGCAAACATGATTCATTTTCATGCTGCATTAAATAATATTTAATGCTGCTTATACATGCAACTTTCTTTTCTATAGCTGTTAGCTGGATGAGCCGTGTAATTACAGTATGCAGCTGCAACTATTGCATTTTCTATGAATTACATACATTCAGTGGACACTTTATTAGGTACACATTTACAATGTATTTCATTCAATGCAACACTTATATACATAAGTTCTACCTTCACAAAGAAAGCTCATTTATAATGTTGAGTTTGTGTTGATGGTCAGAAATCTGTAAATTCAATTACATGTTTATTACTGAGGTCACAGTTAAAGGTGGTCTATATTATATTGAAAAGGACAATATTAGAAAACACCTCTCAATACAATGTGGTTCAGTACAACACCCCCACTAGCTATGACCTCAGTGCTAAAACATAGGTTCAACACCAACACATTATGTAATAACACCCACATTCTGCTGCTTTTTGTTATAAACAACATGAATGCAATATTTAACAGAATTTCCCCATGTTTTGTAATAAATTATTACATATTATGGGAGCTAAACTTTTTTATGATGAAAATGTAATAATATTGTGCATTATCTAAAAACTTACAAAGACACATGAATCTAAAAGATATTTCCCAAATATTAGACTCCTATGACCTGTTATTATAGGTGACTCTGATGTTAGTTTAATAGCTACAACAGTAACAAAATCAGCTTGTTATTATCTTACAAATTCACTTTGTGTAAAGAAAAACTCAATAATGCTTTTATTTCTATCAGGGTTGACTACTGCAATGGTCTTTTGACAGGGCTCCTGAAAAAGCTTCATCTTATTTAAAATGCATTACATAAAAAAAGAAACTCCCACATTTTGTAATAGCCACCACAATAGGACATAATTTATATTTACATATATTGTTGGGGGCTTTTGTTACCTTTAATCGATAGTGACAATGTATTACATAATGCAGTGTTATTACCTAATGTGTTGTTACACATCTCGATGATAGTGTAAAAAAACTGAATGTTATAGGCATTGTAAAAGTTTATTGCAGAACCTTATTGCAGAACAGTTGTATTGGACTGCAATAGACTGTACAGGTATAACTAATAAAGTGGCCGCCGAGTATATGTGCAAAAATAAATCCTGTAAAGCCAAACATAACAGTCCATTTAGCTCAACAGTGTACCATGAAAAAACAGATGGTCAAAAATATTTCCCAGGCTTTGCTGTAATGTATAGGTCTTAACAAGTCACAACCCTGTGAACCCTGTTTTACAACTGTAACTTGGCTGTAAACTATAAACAGTTTGTGACACATGCAAGCTCTGTCCACCTGCACATCTTTGGAACAATATGGTAGTGTTGATATCTTATAACTACAAGAAGGTTGAAACGGGAACCAAACATCAGCTCTTTTTCGCACCCACGGCCAAACAAACCGTCTCTTCCAAAAAAACCTGGAATTCCCATCACTGCTGCACAGTTTCCCTGCAGTGGGAAGCAATCACAAAGTGCAACACTGAAAATACAAAAGACTTCAAAAGATTTGTTTTGGCCGGCATCCTATTGAAACTGACCTGTGACCCACCTTGGGACACCACCCACCAGTTGAGAACCAAGATCTTGCTTTGCTTGGTCTATAGGGACAAAATAATGTAAACATCGCATTGCCAAGTACTTTAAAGTGATACTCCACCCAAAATGTATCTTTTGACTGAAAATGCTCACCTGCTGCACATTTGAAGGGTGGCTGAAAGGAATCACAGCAGTTACAATGGCTTCCAGTAATGCAAAAATATTGAATCACCTATAGACGCGCTATTACCTTCTACTGCACTGTCAGTGTGTGTGCTCAGTATGTTCCAACTCTGATATTTTTGTATTACTTTTTCATCACAAACAACTCTGTGAATCCTCCTACTCTATCAACATTCAAAAATCTAGTTTATCCTTTGCGAATGGTTTAGTTATTTCCAAATTAACTGAGGTGTATATAATAAATATATATAATCACTCTGTAGTTGGTTTTATTTTATTAAATCTTTTCTTTCCAAAACAGAAAACTCACAACCCTCACAGATCAAGATCATATATAAGGTAAGAACAAACTAAACTGTATTAAATTAAAATAAATTAAAAAGAAATCTTTAGTCTCTCCATGTTTATTGATCCTAATACATACCTTTGTCATCTGGTTTAAAGCAGAGAACTGCAGGACATAGAGATGGAGCCACAATAATGTGAGTAACCTTCTGACCTCCTAGGTTTTATGGCGCGTTTAACAACTGGAGCTGGAACCGATTAAATTTCTTAAAGAAACACCTGTGTCAGCCTCAATGTAAAGCATGACTGCTGTACACACGTTTATATTCTTTGTATTTTTCTCCTCCTCAGGCCATAAAGAAGACATTGCTGCTGCAGCAGCAGACATGCCACTTGTGAAGCTGTATATTTTATCCATCATGAACATGTTTCATATCAGTATTGTCTGTGTAATGTATCATAGTCACCTATTTAATCGGAAGTTTCGCTTTGACTGAGAGCAAAGATGGACCTTGGAATAATATGCTATGTATATTATGTTTATGCGTTATCTATTGCAGATATCTTTTCAAGTTCACTAAAAAAAGGTTTATTTTTACACTAGTTATGTATGTTGAATAATGTGTCTCCATTTGCTACCACTTAACCAACTGTTTGTAATGTTGTTTGCCAAACACAAGTTATTTATTAGTTTGACTCTATTCAATCTCCGTATTGATAATAAAAGTTTCATCAATACCAAATCCAAAATATAATGTTCTCCAGCTGTCCAGCTGCCAGTGCATTCATATATGAACCCAATGAAATAACATCTAAAGAGCAGGTAATGACCTCATTAAACAATTTAGGCCACTTTATAGCCCACATTCTGTTAAACCAAACTGATTTAACAAACAGATTTACAGTAACACTTTATGAGCATTAAAAGTATTTTTATCCTTGCCAAAATGGCCTTTCCCACTGCTTTGGAGAGCAGTTTAGTTCCATTCATTATCAGCTTACAATGCTGATCAATACGCATTCTTCAAGTGGCCAATTTCTAAACGTTATAACCAAATATTTGTATATCCAGTTTTTTTTTGCAAAACAGTGTGAATAGTTTCAACATTTTCTCTGGAGAATATCCTGTTATTGAATGGTCACACACACAGAGCTGTTGTTACTGGCAGAGCGAGAAACGATCTCAACAGATACACACCAGTCGCTGCTGCAGCTTCACAAGAAATGTCTTCACTGCACGGGGCCTGACAAGATTTGGTGGGAATAATGTGCTACACCAGTTTACTCTTCATTTACTCTCTACATTTAATCATTACTGCGTGGTAGTGGCTAATAAAAGGATATTACTGAGAGAGAGAAAGGGCAGTGTATTCCCATATGTTGTCATGACTTTCACTCATGTTTACTCAGTGATGGTCCAGCCTAATTTTTTATAATAATAAATTGCATAATGTCTGAGTTTGAGAACATTTCCCCACAAAATGTAACATTTCTGTGTGGTCTCGGAGAGGAGCACATCAGTAAATCCTGTCAAAAGATTCCCACATGTGATCATGTGCATGTGTGCTGGCCTTTATTTTGTTTTTGAAAAGTCTGTGTAGGAAGCAGAGGAATAAAAAAAAAAAAACACACAGCCCTTCCCCACAGCCTCTGCATAACCATGCGCAGCCTGTAATATAACATGATCTATAACACACTTAATTTCACAGGCTACCGCTTATCAGTGTGCAAACCACTGTTGCGCTGGCAGTAATCCATCCTTCATCCCAAGACATTGCTCCATTACAAAACAAGGAAAGTATTCCTATAATTCAATTTAGTGCCTTTCTGCAGAGGATTAAAGGCAGCTGTGGAAGATGAAAAGGCAAGTTGTCTTCAACAATAAATATGTGGGAACTGCCTAAGACCAGTTAGAATTGTCAAGAGAGCTGCCGCCCTTTTTCTCTCTCCCAACCTCTTTGCCTCTTTTACCTTCAAATGAGAGGAAACAGAACATGTTGTTGTTGCTAAAAATACATCGCTGTCAACATTTAAGGGGACAAATAACTCTGGAAACACTTTTTTTCCCTTAGATGTAATAACAGATACAAAGTAGTGGATTCCTAGATAAAAAGATTCATTTTACACAATGACGTATAATTCGTAGCTGTCCAGCTAAGTGGAAACAAACAGTTATAAATCCAGATATTAGCTTACTGACTACGTGTGTCAAGTACACATCCATCTGTGATATACAGTGAAATACACATTGGCTCAGAAATTACACCCTAAAAAAAATCAAAGTGTGTTTAAAGCTACAGTAGGTAACTTTGATAAAAAATAACTTTTTGTCATATTTGCTGAAATTTTCATTATATCCTGTCAGTAGATAGATAGTTTCTCTGGCTCCTCCTAGTGCTAATAGCTTCTTTGCACATCACTGCGTTCCTGTGGCACAAACTGTAGATGGAGGGCAGGAAGTTATTTTCTACATTGGAAGCACTATCAGAAACTCACAATTCCTGTTTTGCGCCATTTATGGTTGCTCACATCAGTCAAACCGAGAAACCACAAGGAGCTTTTATCGAGTACAAAAAGTTGTTGTTCATAAGCAGGAACTAAACTGACTGAAATTTGCCGGAAAAACAACTTACAAGTACTGATATGGATGGTGACAGCAGCAAAACACAGCCTATATTAAGAATTCTATATCAGTTTAAGTGTACATTATATTTAGAATATTTTCCCCACTATTTGTTGCCATCAGCCAGCCCTTACCGATTGAGGCAGCGGTGGACCGGCAACTCCCGTGTTCTGCGAGGTAAAGCCGCAAACAAGCTATTTCAAGAATCCACTGCACCTGGACAAAGACAACCAATCAAACCTGAGAAAGGTAGTTGATTGTTGAGTCTCATTCCCAGGTCATCAATTGTAGATGCTTTGGGTCTTTTTGTCCAGCCACGCAAGATTTTTGCAAATGCCATTAGCAGCACTGATGAACCTGATTTCTTCCACAGATTATATGTTTAATGTAACAATCAGGTTATAATTAAAGTTTCAGTAAATATGATTTTTTCTAAAGTTACCTACTGCAGCTTTAAACACTTTTTAAAACACTGCTACTGATTAAAAAAAGATACAGTTATGAAACTAATATATGATTATCTTTGGATAATTCAGAGGCTCATTTGAGGAGGAATACATGCTTTTCATTCGATATAATCAAAAACACTTGATAACACAACTTTAAATGTTGATAGAAAAATTATAATTAGTCTAATAGTCTTTAAGTAAACATATTTTGAATATATGTAACAGCCAGTACAATCAAATGGGCAATTTCATTATTGAATGCCTATCACTGATATGTTAAAGTGCACTTTGCCAAATAATAATAATAAGTCTCATTGCAGCTAAACTTGCTGTTTTATCACCTTGTGCCACATGGTGGAGGCAAAGATCCAAGTGACACGCTGATGATTGGCAGTTTTATACAGGTTATACTTTGCCAGACATGACACAAGCAGAACTTGCTGTCCTCAGCTACAACCTAGTTATACTTAAGATTATTATTTTGGCCAGAATACTGGAACTGATAATTGAATTAGTTTGTTGAAAGGATGTCAGTCATCTGGACTTTTCTTATTGCTCTCTGTGATCCATATGCCTGTCATCTGGATACGTGATTATACAACTGTGGAATTTCCTGTTGACTAATACTGGAACTGTTTAATCATTTGGAATAACAATCGCAGCTTTAATAACAGTTTAACAATTCAATATCTTGAAAACGTTTTGATAGAGTGGACTGTGAAGAATAAAATGTAAATATAGTGACAGGGAACAAAAGGTTGGGAGTGTGCAGCTATACCCTGAATGAGTTGAGAAAAATCAGGACGAGACATCAGGAAGCGCTACACATCAATAAAGGCAACATGCCGCAAACAGTAGGCAGCTTCAGCAGGAATGTCTTTGGCACTGATCTCATTGGCATCCAAACGCAGCATTCTCAGCTTGGAGAAGTTTGTCATGTCGATTGTAGTGCAGAAACTGCTCAGGGAGAACTCTGAAAGACACAAGAGGAAAGAAATATGAAGGGAGGTGAGTACCGCTGTTTATTCCTCCTCCTGGGACTTTAAGTATGTCTGTGCTAGAACGCCAGAGTTGTTTCTTACATTTCTAAATTACAGCTACTCTAGAAGCCAGTGAGTAATAATATCAGATAATATACAAATGGTCTTCCCTTGTTTGATTTGCCCTGGTCTATTTTCTGTTTTCATTGGTTGAATTTAATTTTAAACTTTGTTTTTATTGGATTTTTTATTGTTCATATTAAGTTTGTATTGTGTATGCGGTTCCACAGAAGAAAGTGTTTATGGAAAAACCCTACTTCAGGGGAAGGGCATCGTTTCAAAGATTGATACACACAGTTTGAAAATCCTGCTTTTGAGGTCATCTAGTGGTTGAAAATGTTGCTGCATGCTCAGTCCCCACCCCGAAAGCGCTGTGCGGTGATACATTGCTGTTGAAAAATGTAACAAATCCAACTTCAATAAAAGGACATGACAGAAAAAATATGAACTTTTAGGAAGTTGACCTACCAAATACGGTTGGAAGCTGGAGGAGTTACGGGCGAACTGGTGTGTGTCTCAACTTTACTTTCGAAAATCACACAAGTAACTGGAGTGCATTAAATCACTGGGGGGGAGGGCATGTTGAGCTCACTAAAGTGTGACTGTCTATAAAGGAAAATGAGATCAGCTCCTTCAAATCAAAAACTAGTTTTCTAACTATCAAACTTCCTTATTCTGTGACCTAATTTACCGAATCCATTATCCATGTTCGGAGGGTCAAAAGTTAAACTTCCTAAAAGAGTTGTGAGATTTCGGTGTTGTTAAACTGAATGAGCGGCAGTCTGTGAACTGCTGTGCCAAGCAAACCAATTATAACAGTTACATCTGAGTTATGTAGCTTCTCATGTAGATGATTCTAAGTGAAGGGAAATGGAACGGGAAAGCTCAGCATTGTAGGTTATGGCTGTAGGGTGCATGTACAGAATGGCATTTAAAGTACACGTAAGTATAATCAAAACATTAAAATCACCTTTTACACAGTTCAACACAGGGTTTACCATTAAAAAAAATAACAGTTAAAAAGATTTAATGTTATTTTTGAATAACATGTTTATAATCACATTATACTTCTTAGTGATATAGTACACATAACTTTCTTTCCAATGGGACAATAAAAAATGTAGGAATCACTACTTTTTTACATTTATATAAACTGTTATAGTTCCAAAAATCTTAAGTAACAGAGAAGTGTCCATACCTTTGATCTTATTGGCTTGTAAATAAAGGTTCTCCAGGTTCCTACTGACAACAGGGATTTTCTCCAGTTTATTGAAAGAAAGGTCAAGTTCAACCAGCGTGCTGATATTGAAGACATTGGAGGAAAGACCTTTATCTGTCAGCTTGTTATGAGCCAACCGGACAAACTGCAGTTTGGGATACATAGTGAGAAAGCCCGCCGGCACACTCTCTACGTTATTAAACTCCAAGTAGAGCTGCTGCAGCTGCTTAGGGAGGTTGTCAGGGATTTTCCTCAGCCTGTTTTTCCTCATGTCCAGCATGGTCAGAGACTTCAGTCCCTTGAACACACCTCCAACGTCCTCTATAACATTTGCTTGGAGATGAAGGGTTGTGAGGTTGGCCATTCCCTCGAATGAGCTGGAGGGGATTGTTGAGATCTTATTGTGCCCGAGTCGCAGGTCCGTGATAGCCTTGGGCAAGTTGGGAGGCACACGTGTAAGCTCATTGTGATCCAAGAGGAGCCGGTCAAGGTGCTTGAGCTTGCTGAATACGTTCTTGCCGATCTTTTCTGAGTTGAGCTGGTTGTGAAAGAGTACAACCCAGACCAAGTTAGTAGCGTTGTCAAACACTCCATCCTGGATGCCTGTGATCTGGTTACGCTGCAGGTAGACATACTTAATGTGTGATGGGACGTAGGGAACATGTTGAAGGTGGCGGCTGTGACAGTACATAGCTGTGGGGTAGGCTGAAGGGCAGTCGCACTCCAGGGGGCAGTCCTCATCCTCGGCCCGCCAGCCGGCATGTCGCCGCCGCCCTCGCAGATGGGACAACCACTGCCACTGGCTGTAATGCTGGCCGATGCTCAAATCCACCAGTCCCATTATGAGGAGGAGCACCACTGTCCGCATGATCACTGATGGAAAGCCCAGGAAGAAAAATATGTAATTTAAAGTTGATATTAAGTCAAATGTAGGGTATTACCTAATAGCCCAATCCCAAATTTGTAATACACTGAGAACGTGAATTGTTGTGCAACTAACAATTATGCGGCTTCAGTAATTTAAGACAGATCTAATTCTTTCTGCTCCACTTTTTAAATGTACAGTAGGGACAGTATACCTACCAGTTGGATGATCAGAGACGATGCCTCCTCCCTTGCTCACGTCGCTTGTGTCTTTCTCAGACTGAGTGGAATATGTTGTTGGTATAGAGTAAATATCCCCCCCCCTCTCTACGCAGCTGCAGTCCTAGCCACCCTGTCTCATTAGAACACGTGCATTTTTTCACTTGCATGTAGAACCTATAACATATCACCTCCAGCCATGTCAATATCAATCCCATCTGTGAACTGGTACAGACATCTGCTTTTTAACAACCTTGTTTTCCCTTACTGTGTCATGCCTTATCATTAGCACAGCCACTCAAAGGTCTGGCTTGATGTTTACTGTTGTGGAGTGAAGGTTATAGAGAGGGTGGGGGGTTACAGTAAAGAAATTTAACGAACCAAACGAGACACTGGTCGTGTTTGTTCTTAAATAAAACAATGCAGCTTTGTTAAAGTTGTGTGACTATTGCACCCTGTATGTTTCAACATGTACAAAGTATGTCATAACCTGTTATTTGTCCACAGTCCAATAAAAAAAAAAAAAGGTCTTTCTTTCTTCATGCCTGCTTCACGTACTCACTACTTTTGTCAATTACAGTGTTCAAACTGCAGGGAAAGTTAACATGTGTTTTTGTACTGGCGCCTGCAGACAGAGGAACACCATTATCATCTTGCAGATTGTCTCAGAATGGGCCTTGCCATTTATGTCCTCCATTGGAGCAGGGAAATTGAAGACAGAGTTTTAAGAATTACAGTTTTTTCCTCCAAATCTGTTCCCCTTGCCCCTCTGAGGAAGTAAAAGACAACGTGCTGATTTGAAAATGGAAGTTGTTCAGCAAGTAAAAGACCTTAATAACCAAACAATTACATCCCATTTTAGTGGAGAGGGAACCTGAGGATACACAGATGGGAATCTTTTGCACAAAGGACTTGGCAGATTTTTAGTCACAACACAACATTCTTTGGCCAAAAACAATTTTTAGTCGAAAACTTAAACCAAATATGTAACAGTAAATACTATTTTTTTTTCCAAGTGATGTTACATTATCCTATGTGTAAGAAGTGATGCCTATTATTCTGTTATAACCCTGCTGTCATCATTACTTATAGGGGGAAATCCTTCATCCCAAAATAATCCAAAGGAACTGTAATTGGTGGGGGAAATTAAAAGGTTTCCCGGAAAACTATGTCCCTTTGAAAACTTTGATGTTGGATTTATTATTCAGTTGTGATCAAATCTCCTAGTATTTAATACAAAAGACATTAATATTTTGTGTTTGCCAAGACAGCTTTGTTTTGTGTGTGTGTGTGTGTCTCTGAACGCAGCACAAAGAAAGTCTGAATTAAAACAGGATGCAACAGCTGAAAATATGATCTGTAATTAGACCATCATGTTTAATCTAAAACATTCTGTGTGGGTGTCATTAATTCAAGGATCCAACTACAGCTGAAAACCTAAAAGGCTAAATAGTCCAAATTACATGGAAACAAACAATAAACGTTCAGCCTGGAGGCGTTCTGCTGTGAGCTGCACCTTATGGTATAGACGTAAGACGTAACCTATTTCTTGGATTTCACTAGAAACAACACATGGGGTTGACTGTAATGAAAGAAAGATGCTAATTTAAAACACATTTGTGTATTTTATGCATGGGAATTCTTTGGAAAGGAGAAGATCAGAGTAGCATGTGCATGTATCCAATCTAATGAGCTATACTGGTGCATAATGTAATTTAGTCAAAGTGCTGCTGGTCATTTCTCTTGAGTTTTTTAGCCATATGGTTTTAGTTAATTCTTGACAAACTATTGGATAGATTGCCATGGACTTTGGGAGACATTTATGTTCCCAGGGTTAAATCTCTTCAGTTCATGACAGGATACCACTAAATATTCCAGTTATTATCTCTTTAGGTTAATGCTATACTAAATGCTATGATGCTAAAATCTTTAACGATTCTTGAATGCGTGACGTTTAGTCTTTAGCTAACATTTCCTGCATTAAAAAGGTTGCCACCCAATTTGCAGGTCTCACTTTGAGGATTGTTGGAGCTCCCCTTAAGTTCTTTTAAGTATTTTTTTATTTAATTTTGTAACTTTCGCTATTTGTGCCTCCACATATGATTTCCATCTTCAGGTAAAAATGTAACAGACATTAAAGGGAACATTACATTGTACTGAGGCAAAATTACATCCTGAATACAGAGTCACAACTAGGAAATTAGCACATTAGCTAATTTCATCAATAAGCATTTTGCAAACTGCTGTTTTTCTGAAGCCTCACTACATTCTTTCTCTTCAGAGGAAAAAGCGCAATTGATAGATGAAAGAGACCTGTGTGACAAAATACAGTGGTGCTAAAGGCAAGTAATGCAAATGTGATTTGTGTTGACGTGCCACCAAAAACATCCTTTATTTGTGAGAAACAATTGAGCTGCTGGCAACGTATTTGACTTTATGCTAATGGTTGACGTCTAACTGATGAAACAACACGGAAAACCACAGAGAATAATAAAAGATTTAATCCAAAGTAAAAGACAGACAGGGATAGTAGAGATGTGCAACATTTACCACCGTACATCTCGTCTAAAAGTTGACTGCAATACACTTTTCTTTCCATGTCTTTCACACAACAGACTTCATGCACTACTCTTTTTATATTGCTGCTTTGGAGAAAATGAATGCTACAGAAGCATGAAGAGTCCAGTTAACAGCACAGTTTCCTCAATCAAATGCAATTATCACCCCTCTCATAAGCATAGCAAGAGTGATTATTGCTACACATGGTGAGTAAATTTTAGACACTGCACTAACACAATGTGGCAAGAAGACTCTTATTTTGTGGTAAGGAGAAATACTTCTGACATCACATCAGCATACAAAAACAAAAGCTGTGGTTTCTGGTAATGGTCATTCAGTAGACAAATATGAATGATGCTGGCAAACTTTCTCAACAATACCCTCAAGACAAAAAGTCTGGCTAAATAGTTTTCAAAAAAGAAAAACTTAAGAGACAGAAAACAACCTAGAAACAGTCTGAAAGGTGATCCCAACAAAGCTCACTCAAATGACTCACGGAGTATGTACATCAGAATAATAAAAACCATCCTAATATACAACACATACACTAGATTTATGAATAAGCTTAAGTGCACATACAGCATACTTTTGAATGCATAAAAAGAGTTCAAAAGTCCTCAAAGCACATTCAACAAATTGCCTAGGTGAATTCTATGTTTTAAAATAAAAATATAATAACAGAAAGAAATACAAACAGCTAAAAACATACTGTAAATGTTCAGAGTTACTTAATAATGAACAACTTCCCTAAAGCTTTTTTCCTACTTGATGCATGTGTGTGTGTTCGTGTGAAACAGAATACCTCTTAACACGTCTTCATTAGCTTGGAGGTTGTGTGGCTGAGTGTTTAGTTTTCTTTCTTCTCTTCAAGAGTAGAGGATTAGTCGAGTCTTCAATAGTTTTGATTTTAATTTGATCATAGTCCACTCTCATTGTTTGCAGGGCATTTGTCATTTCCTCCTAATAATGACAAATTACGTAACTATTATCACACAAAACCAAGATGAAAACAGTATGCACAATATGCACATGAAGTTTTAAAGAACGTCACATTAGCTCTTTTTCAGGTTCATACTTGTATGGGGGGGGGGGAATAATTACATGCTTCAATGTTCAAAAAACACATTTTTTTCATACTGGTCATGATGCAGCACCTCTGTTTGCCCTCTGTCTGACACACTCCGTTTTCTTTAAGCCCCCCCAACCAAAAAAACAAAAACCAACCCATGCTCAACCCACTCGACAGATGTTTTAACATTTAAAAACAAATCAAGAGCTTTTTCTGTGCGTCTAAAGAAGTAACAACAAAGTGACACATATGAACAGCACCAACACTTACTTTAACCTTCTCCCAGACATCTTGTTCCTCATGCAGCACGCGGCTGGTGTGAAGAGGGGTTTGTGGGACCTCGACCGACTGCTGCAGTGGTAAGAGAATATGGATGTGTGGAAGTGTTCCAAATCTCACAAACATCTTTCAAAACCAGCAGTTGCTCACACGGAGTCGAGCCTACAGGGAGTTGCTTACATTAATCCAGGGATGGTTTATGAACTCGGTGATCCTCATTCTCTCGGTGGGCTCAGTTTTTAATAAGTGGCAGATCAGCTGTTTGGCTGAAACAGGAAATCATTATCGTCATCATTCAATGTTCATACATACTACACTAACATAAGACCTATCTTTGACAGTCATTACAGTAGCTGCAAATATGTATGACTCCAGACACATTTAGAAGACTGACATTTAACACTGGTATCGCATTGCTGCTGTGCTTTTGTTTTTGGGGGCACAGAACACCACAACTGGAGTTACTAAAAATACGTTTTCTGTTTAGAGTAGTTATAGAGTGCTAGTAACTGACAAAAAAAATGTGGTGTGGTGTGTCTTCCTAGGAGGTAGTAAAGAAAGTTAGACACAAAGTAAAGGGAAGGAGCATTTACATGAGAAACATGCAATCTGATAAAAACACCCATTTCAAATTCTGACCTGGCCCCCCTCTCACCTTCCTCAGATACATCAGACCACTCTGGGTTGGGGAACTCATATTGTCCATTAAGAATACGTCTTTTCATTCCAGGGGATATTGCCAGACCATGGTGTGAGAAAAAAGGAGGATATCCACAAAGCCTGCGTGTAAGACAGAAAAAAAAAACACTTAATGACAAGAGGGATCATATAATTAGAAGCAAAAATAATTTAGAGAGGCTTTGACGTGAACCATGCACCATTACAAGATAAAAGGAGTAAAATTACTAAAAAAGGCTTCACGCAGATTGACTTACAGGATATACATAATGACACCCAGAGACCACATGTCACAGGATCTGTCATACTTCTCTGGACCAAGAACTTCTGGAGCTGCCGCAGTGTCAAGAGAAATGATTTAAATTGGACTGAAGAAATTGCTTCTGTTTCACATTTCATGCCTTTGATAATTCTACATACAAGACAGATGACTGCAAAAAAAAAAAAAAAAAAAAAAACCCAGGTCATTAAAGCAGGATATATATGTTTTTTTAGCCAGTTCACAGGATGTAACCTCATAACCCACATCAATATAGCCACTTTCCACAGGAGGCAGAGCGCCTGCAGATGATTATGCTCAATCCCCTGGGGGACAGCACTCAACAAATAGACTGGGTCAAGTAAAGTTTCAAGAAGCACATGGCAAAATGATTCAAAACCTAGTAATTAATTCACAGTGCCAAAATCCACACAGTCCACAGATTTTTGTCTTGCAGACACAAAAATATGTATAAATGGGATCATCCTGCTGATATATGACTATCACTGACATCAGGAGGTCTAATCTCACAGGAACTAAACACAGTTCAGTGAGACAAACAAAATTACATCAGGGCCAATCGGTTTGTCTGCATGGACAGATCCTCTTTTTTTAACCTGACATAATTAAGATCACATGTTCTGTGGTCTTACCAACATAGTAGGGGGTAAAACAGGGTGTTGCTAAAGAGTTTAACGTTGTGATTTCTTTGGCAAATCCAAAATCTGTCAGCTTCAGGAGGGCATCTGGCCTTTTGGAGGTGTACAGCAGGTTCTCCGGCTGAAAGAAACAGCAACCGTTATCAAGAGTCCGGAGAACTTTTTTTTTTTTTAAACTGATCATTAACCACAAGAAAAGCAAAGAATTATTGAAAATAGACAGCAAACAAACAAAAGGTCTGTGTTTTTGATAATGATGTCCCTCCTTATGTCTTAAATCAGTAAGTGTCAGTAAGAAACAACACCATTCACAAATTAAGTTAAAAAATGTCCAGCTATGTCTTAATATTCAATAAGACCTGCACATTTCCGTTGGTTGAGAGGCCACTAAAGGTGTTATCTGAAATATCAGAATAGAGAAGCAGACACAGAAGTCCATTCTGCAAATAAACTGATTTTATGCTGGTTCTTCCATTTAGCAGGTGGCACATCTTGTAACTATAAGGTTCTCAGTTTAGTCCGTCCAAGGACCTCTGTCACATGTTATTCCCTTATCTGTCTCCCCATAGTTCCTGTCCCTCTTAACTATCAACTAAAGGAAAGTATGTCATATTAATAATCATATTATGTCATCTGGTGACTCCACTCAACTGGTATAATGTATGTTGGTCTTGGTCCCATTTCCAAGAATAGTGGAACTATTCTATACTATCACTTTATATTTTTGGTTTTGTAAAATAGCACTTTTTATGTACTTTCACTCTACAGCAGACAAAGAAAAGTAGTGGTGCTCTGTGACCCAACCAAGATACAAAAACGCAAACATTTTAAAGGAACAACTCCCAGCAATCATGGAAAGCATTGTCTGTTTGCCAGTAGGGGCTGTATAATCAATCTATTTCAGCTGCCATTCATTGTTTGCTTACTCTACATATGTAAACAATTTGACTTCCATGTGTACAGGAGCCTGGGGGACTTTACTGTACTATATCTCTCCAATCTCTTGTTTTTCTCCTAATTGTACTACTTGGCATTAAATATGAGCTCTCTGACGTGCACAGGATATTAAATTCTAAATTAAACCTAAGGATAAGATCACAATAGCAATTTTACTCACTGCTTTTATTTCTTAAGAATGAACTTGAGTTACTTTCCATGAAAACAGTCCACTGTTGCAAGTTTTCTTTTCCATTGCAATTTCTGTCTCAAATATATACAGCGAGGTATTACCTTGATGTCTCTGTGAGCAATGTTGATGGAATGCAAGAAATGTATTGCTTCTCCTATACTTTTCATGATGTCAGAGGCCTCTGAGTAAAAAGGAAGTGAAGAGAAATGAAATGGACATGATGGGGTTCAAACAGAAAGGTGAAAGATTCAACTACACATTCAGCAGCACATTCTGAGATTGATAAAGTTACAATCCTATAGATTTTCATGAAATCAAAGCTTGTCTTGTAGACTGTATTTTGTGGTTGGCGTTTTTTTTAAAAATGTGATTCACAGTAAACAAGGCATCCATATAATCCAGTGTCACTGTTCGTAATCCTTACTGTTGTAACAAACAATTATTTCTATTATGAATAAATCTTGATCATTTTCTTCATAAATCAATTCATCGTTGTGTCTACAAAATGTCACAAAATGCTCATTATAATTTTCCAGGGCCCAAGGTGTTAATGGTATTGGCCGAACACCAGACCAAAACCTAAAAATATTCAATACCACAGCATTAATAATTTTACCTTACAGCTTCACTGTTTACTGTTTACCCCCTTCTACTGCCATATCAGAACTGTAATTAAGTTAGTGCTCATGCAAACTAAACATTTCCTGCTGCTGCTGCTGCTTCACATTAAGCATTACACTAACAAAGCATACCTTACTTTTATTGTGAAGCAGTCACATCAGTCATTGAGTATTTGTTAGTATGGTTTTCATTTACCAAATCAGTCAAAACAATCTAAAACGTGACTAAAAAACAAGACAAAGGTCATTTGGGGCATTTTTGGTCAACAGATCAGTTTTAAACATTGCAGAAAACATTTGTTTGTTTGGCTGCACTGTAAGCAAGGAGTGTCTGCTGTACTCAAAATCCTGGGTATTAAACCAAACTTGTACCACAAGCAACTAAGACTGAATTCTTAAGGATTGTGACTTTAACTTTCTTGAGAAATAATGATCCTTTTACCTCTTTCTGTAAACGCATGATTCCCTCTGTCTTGGATATGGCTGAATAATTCACCTCCATCCATGCTGAAAACAAAAACAGTACAACAGACAGGAGTGCAGTATGAGTCTGTGAAGACATCAGGGCATTTTCATTCTGTTACTCCTCAACGAAGAACAACTTATAGTTTCTCGTGGTTCACCCAAGTCTGTTTAAGGGCTACATTTTACTAACTTTCACTTATTCCTTTTTAAGGTTATAATTACACTTCAAAGACTTTAACATCATTGTACTCTTTTGCCAAGTCAATTGAACTTCTCATTGTTTTGTAAAAAAAACCAAAAAAAAACCCAACGTAATTAACATACTGCAAATTGTAGATATTTTTCCACTTGTTATGGCAAAAAGTGAAAATAACTTTCCTTAGCACACTAAACTGGCAATTAGTTTTTTAGGAACAGTAAAAAGCTCTTAAATAAAACTCTACTATACCTGGAAACAATCCCCATACCACTAAATATCAAATACAATCATTAGTCACGCTTATCAAACAGGATTAATCAATAATTACATGAAATACATCCTATCATATCCAACTTTGTGAACATTTTTCTAATCTTCTGTAATGTATGAAGTGGCTGTAGACATCAGGTAGGCGCCTGTCTTATTAAATTCCAGACAAAGCAGCCTCTGCCTGCTTTTCATTGCTTTTTGCCCTGAAGTGTTCTGGATACTTCTCACCTCAGTTGGTGTGCATTAAAAACAAAAAAAAGCTGGCTCCACCAGCACAGAGCAGCTAATACTAACACGAGCCACAACTCCCAGGAGCCATTTAAAGATGAATAATGTCCAGGGCAGGAAATACTTTTGTCAACACATGCTATCACTTTTTAATACCACACATACATCATTAGTACTGAGTGTTTGTGTGTGTGTGTGTGTGTGTATGTGTTGTGGGAGTTGGGGGGCCTGCAGACAAACACACCACTCCATCACGATGAGGAGACACTTCCTGCCCTGGTAGAGATTCTCATAAACATCTATGATGGGTACAATGTGGGAGCAAGGTGACACCCTCCAGTGGAGCTCTACCTCCCGTCTGGCTTCAGGACAGTCCTGCAGCATCTGAGACACAAACAGCAGAAGAGTGAACAGGTCAGACAGCAGGGGTGAGATTTTAGTTTAAAATGCAGTCATGTTAACCTGCTCAAGGTTTAATAAATTCATATTTTTGTTTGAATTTAGCAATATTTGATACCATTCGGATAAGAAGGAATAAGATACTGACTCAGAATCCTAGCAATACTGACATTGCCCTAATGTTTGTTTTAACAGTGATTATGAGGCTCAGACATTTCACCCCATTTTATAGTGGGAACACTTTGCAGATAGAGCTGTTTCGTGCATTAGTCGATTAGGTAATGGACAAAACATTTATCGTAAACAATTTTCATAATAAAAATTGTAATTTTGTAAGCAAGAAAATAAAAAAATAGCTGGCTCCAGCTTCTCAAGTGTGAAGATTTGATCATTTTCTTTGTCATTCATGATGGTAAACTTAATATATTTGGGTATAGGACTGTTTGTGGGACAAAATTAGACACATTAGACAAAATAAGACGATTTTCACAATTTTTTGACATTTTCTAACAATTAGTTGAGAAAACAGTCTGCAGATGAATCGACGGTGAAACTACTTGAAAATCAGCTATAGGCCAGAGAGTGTATCGATTCTGGGTAAATAATTTACGCTACATAGTGGAAATAAAACAAATTGTTTCATTTGTAAGATATATATTTAACCTTTACATTTAAATAACTTATTTTTCATTAAATATTAGACTTGTTGATTTCTTTGAATAAATTACTACTGTAAATACCCATACAAAGAGAAGAGATTCAATAGATGTTCATGATTAATAGACAATTTTGCAATACATATTAATTAGCTTATATCATAAGAAAAAATAACTGCAGGCTGACTTTCAGTTGGATTCCTCCTTCATATTTTCACTACACAAATTTGTAGCAACCTCAATGATGTCAGTTTTACTATCTTCTTTATCTGACTCTTCCAGTGGACTTCAAACTCACACTACATATAATAACAAAATGTTATACTGGCACTTCTTGTCCGTCCACTTACAATATGTAATTTCTGCTGCTAGGGGGTAATAATAAAAGACATACAATCTATCTGACGTAAAATGCTAAAATGCTACACAAGTATGTGGATCTGTAAAGTAACCTGAAGAAGAGACAAGCAAATAATCACATAGTTAAACAAACAAGAAAAGATTGGTCATTTGCTAGTTTTTCTACTTTGTTTACCCATGTCAAAACGTCGTCACCGTTCTATAAAAGCTGAGAGTATTCTATCTGCATGACACCTTGTCCTGTTGTACCACACCAGACATCATAATCTCTCAGTCATCTCAGGCTTCTCACATGAAGCTACTTTTAGACACAGGCATGTTCCCCTCTCTCTTTCTGGCTGGCAGCATTTGGATAGGAAAAGTCAACACTCTTCTTTCAAAACAGGCACCTCAACATGACAGACCAGCAATCAGAGGCCAGCTACTGGTCAATATATAACTCTGGGACAGAAATTAGACCCTGACAAGGTTCTCTTTTCTGTACGACCTTTTTAATGCCAGAAAATTACAGGTTTTCATGAAAGAAAAATCTATAACTTACACTTTATGCTAACAATGACCCCATCTCTTGAACTCTGGCAGTGCTCACCCCTAACTCTAAATACTGCCTGTCACTACACATGCATCAGTCAGACCAGGTACTCTATAGTTGGATATGCATCACACATGCCTTAGGGGTGACTAATGATCCCAGAGGAATGCAGTGAAGTAATATAATCATTTATCTCTACCTGCTGGCTAAAACTGAGACTTAAAAAGGGGATATATATACAGTCCTGGGGAATGGAAAAGTGGAAACAGTGTATGAGAAGCAGATTTTCTAAAAATCAAAGATAAGAGAGAAACATCTGTTAACTTTCAGAGCTCAGCTTGATACACTGTGTGTTCAGCCCTGACTGCGTTTTCTTTGACTGATTCTCAGCCTCAATGCACAGAGGTTGTGAGCAGCCAGGTTCTGTTTATGCCACACAAATCATGAAAAGTCTTTCTCTTATTATGAAAATGAAGATGACAAGAAAGGGGAGCAAAAGAGGCCATGGGAACTAATGGAAATGTTGGGTGTGTGTGTGTATTAAATTAATGAAATTCACAATGTCGTTTTGATTACAACGCAGATTATATTGTATATATTATTGTATTATAATAATATATTTTAATTGCAAACTGCAGAGTGACAGCTTAGATACAATAATTGAACCTGCCAGAGAAAGGTGCTGCCTTTAAACAACGCTTACACTCAGAAGGTAAGAAATCAATGTAGACAACATACAACACCTCTTATTTCACAGACCAGTAATAATAATCTGTGGTCATAATTGTTTTTGTCAAAATCAAACCAACTCAAGTTAAGTTATAAAGACATGCATGGAGTATTTCTAGTGTTTTTGTCTGCATAATGTGCTAGACTGTGTAAAAGGCCATTGCACTTGCCACAGGTGATATGACTGGTTCAAGTGTCGGACACATAATGAGAGCCACAAACAAAAACATGTCACAACCAATATCAAATATTTGTCACTGCAGAAGAAGTTTTATCTAGAAACATACTGCAGACAGTACGCTCTGCTATATTTACTAATAAATACCAAATATATAACATCAGGCCAATGCACAAGTTTCGATACGTTTATCTATAGCATTATATAGTTCAGTAACAAATAAATAAATAAGATTAAGACAACAATATGTTTACCTTTAGTGCATACTTTCCCCCACTCTCTTTGTGGAATATTTCCAGCACTCTGCCATTTATCCCCATCCCGAGCACCTGACTTGTCACACTGTAATCGTCTGTTATTACATTCCTCTTGATTTGAAGAGGGTTGTTAAAAGGTTTCACAAAACATTGTGGGAAAGGAGCAGAGTTCACATTAGGCTGCTGTTGGACCGGGAAAGCCGGCTGGTGCTGATTCGACATGTTAACTATCGGCAACACATGAGTGATAACAGTCCTACAGGTGCGGTGTTTGTTTGTTTGTTTGTTTATCTCGTCTTCCCCGCTGCGAGCACTAGCTAGCGTTAGTTAACTATCTTAGCTACCACCTAGCTCATGTTGTCCTTGTGTGATATTAGCCCTCCGCTAGCCGCCGGGACAGCTCTCACTCAAGTCCTCCACACGCAGCTGTGGCTGTCCGGGAAGTCCTGTGAGATTCTTGACAGACTGCCAGACAGTTTAACAACTTCACTGTCACACCGTGTGATAGCACTTGTTAATACATAAAGGTTAACATAAAAATTGAATTGACCGCAATGGTTAACAAATGAGCAAACTTCCGGGCTGAAATGGTGGACGTAAAAGCAGCATCTCTGTAACGGTCCCCTGACAGGGGCGAGCCTGGGGGGTAAAGGAGGGTGGGGGTCGCCCCCTCACTACCACCACCTCCACTAATGGTGCTTTCTATTTAAACTGGAGAGTTGTAATTTCCGACTAAGACTCAGACTCACACATGTCCGTAGCAGAAAGCAATGGTTGCTTGTCTGCTCACACACTTGCTCCTATTACAGATAAACAGCACAATGGGGCAATAAATTAAAAGTTTTACAGTTTGATCTGAAGTTTCTTGTGTTGCACTGGATGGACTCACTGAGAATGACGTGTCAATCACAAGCCAGAAAACCTTTCTGAAAAATAAGATGCCGCAGTCAAGCAGAGGAGAGGACTGGTGGGATTGTGACATCCATCCAGAAGTTTTGGATATCAAGGGCTACTTTTAACTACATCTGTCAGCACCTCTCCACATCTCTCCAATCTTGCGTATCTGTACTTGATCTGGATCACGTATTTAAGTGGCCAAATCAAATTCAAAAGATTAGATTCCATGTGATTTGTGCTGTTCACACTGTCATGAAAAAAACAAAAAAAAACACATACGAGATCCTGTTTATCCTGAAAACAAATTTTTTTTATTTGAGACTGTTCTGAAGAGAAGTCAGGCTACAGTAACCAGGACATCATGGGGACACAATGTGATGAAAACAAATAGAGAGTTAATGCACATCAACGCTGGGAAATAGGACAGTATTGGATCCAAGTAATGCATGTAAAGACACCGCCAGTGTTCATCATGTGATGCATATTAAATAATCAAAGTCATTGTCAACTAAGCTATATGGCTTAAGGTGCAACATAAAATGCAGTTTTCTATCAAGGACTAATGCAAGCCAGGACTCACTCACTATGCAGTAGCTATCACTGTCAGCTCCTGCCTCCCCATTTTCATTGAGTTTCCTCAAATGAGTGAAACAGCGCTTCTCTGGTTGGCACCCTTTGATTAGAAATTGTTAAATATCAAACAATCACTGTCATATCATTGTGAAACTGAATGGAGGAAAATAAACTCAGATTTGAAATTGTAAAAGCTAGTCATACTCATGTTAACATAATTTAAATGAAACAACATCTTATTTTCCAGTATGATGTTGGCTCTTGTTGTTTGTTAGCTAGCTGTTGCCTCTCAGTCTGTCTCTTTACTAGCTGGTTTCTTTCCTGGTAATTAAATGTCTCTTCATTACTCCTTTAACAACACAGCAAGGAGCAAGGACACTGTTGCTGTAACTATGGCAATTAATTACATTAGCTGTTAACTCCTGAGTGGTCAACAGCCTGTTTTACAGGGGCCATCAGATAGTAAATTGCATAATAAAGTGGATAATAAAGTTGCCCTTATACTAGGATATTAAATTACCCTTTAAGGATAATAAAGTGCTCTTTAACTTAATTTTGGAGACATCTAATACTTTTTCCAGTACATGACCCTGTCCTGGGATAACAGTATAATGGTACTTCTGACGTAAAAAAGTAATTAAAGTAAGTAATAAAATAACTGAACTATATATATATGAATTGTACTATACATCCATGTGCTTACTGCGGAACTACCGGTTGCGTCGCCGCGGCACAGTTTCACGTCGGAAATAAATATGTGTCGGACCATCACACCCAACGAGGAACAGCTGATTACTGTAAAGCCAATATAAGAAATATATTAGGCTATTTCGCCGTTGCACAGGGCGTATAAAAATGTATGTGCCGACACAATGAAAACAGCTACATTAACTCCGAAGCGGACGAGCTGAATTGGTCGCAGCAGTTTGTTTATTTTCTGAGAAAAGATGTTTGCCAGACAGTTTCGTGTCAAATCCAACACCGCAATCAAAGGATCGGACAGGTGAGTCAGTGCTGCTGCCTGCCACTAGCTCTGCACAGACTTTACCCTGTCGCCATTTACTCCTAGCTGCAGTTTGTTGTATGTTTCTGTTGTGGTTTGTTGAAAACTGCTCGACAAGCTCTTAATATTAGACCTTGCCTAACATTGCTGGAACAAGTCAAATCTTGAGTTGGTGTCCATGAAACTGTGTAGATGCAGACCCCAGCACTTTATCAGATAGTTGTTGTTAATTATTCTGAATATCCATTTAAATTCTGGCTCAGTATCATCAGGCAACATATCAATATTTAGCTGTTGTTGTGTTGTTTATTATTGTGAACTGTTAAATATCAAGCAGGCCATGTATTAGAGACATTTATATAGTATATAATATATATATATATAATATACTGTATATAGCATATAGTATGCAGTAATTCATTTTAACGTGTGAAAGCCATCTGATGTTGTGTTCAGTTGAAAAGAAAATTGTTTTTTTTTTTTTTAATGAAAACTATTCAATCTATATCTACAGCAGTAATTCTTACTAGTATGACATCAACCAATTACTGAAACTTTTGTGTTTGTTCTTACCTTTAGGAGAAAGCTCAAAGCTGACATATCTGCTGCTTTTCCTTCACTGTCTGCTGATGAGATTTCTGAGCTGGTCCCCAACAAAGAGGAATTAAATGTAGTGAAGATTTATGCACATAAGGGCGATGCTGTGACTCTTTATGTTCTTCACAAAAACCCACTGTTCTTTGAACTGGAGAAACGACTTTATCCTACAGGTAATAACCTGGTTATTAAGTTTATTAAGTTGAGATTAAACTAAATGGATAAAATCTCTTTTAAAGCTGGGGTACGCTTTTTTTTGTGTTTGTGTATGTCATTGGACAAAAAATCAGGATATTGTAATTCAAGTGGTCTGAGAGGGAACTAGACTTCTGCCCCTGCTCTTGGCTCTGTTTTTAAGCTTTAGAAAAATCAAGCCAGTGACAGGTTTTACATCTCCACACTTTGTCTTAGCACTTTTCCTGTGCTGGAGAAAGTGAAAGCCTGATTCAGTGGCAGAAAATTCAGCAAAATAAATAAATAATAACAATGAATAATAAATCAATTTCCTATACTTTCTTTGCCTACAACAGTGTTTATTACAAAACATGTATGTTTATGGTGCTCATACTGACGACTGGCAAAGAGGCATGATAACAAACAGTGGGGAATATCCTTTGAGGGGGAACAGTGGTGTGTGTTTGTGGTGCACTATCCTTTTCCATGTTATTAGTTGGTGCCGCCCTCCCAGAGAAATCTCTGCTGTTTTTTGCCCGTCACCACCGAAGCAGATCTTTGCTGAGGCAGTCGAAAAGGATGTCTGGTCCATTCTCTCGTCCCACTGTTAGGCTGCATCGTTTAAGCTGTCTCTGAGGCATGGAATGCTCTGCCCTCTGGCTGCTCCAGGGGCATTTTTTGAGAGGACATTTGCTGTGATATGTACTGGGGTTTTGGCGAGGCTCACGCCGTGGGAAGCACAAGGCATGAGGTTTTGCAGGGCAACTGGCTCCTTCTGCAGGCTGTTCAACTTGGGCATTTAGTGGCTTTACCCAGCTTTTCAGTAACTTATTTTATCTGTGCATTGTCATATTTTTCAGTATATGTGCTTTGGCGCTACCCTGCTCTCCTGCCAACATTCAGGACATGGCCTCCAGTGCTTCAGAAGTTGATTGGAGGAGCAGGTATGTTTCTTCTAGACTGGACAGATGTTTAATGCTGTACATTTAGGTTGATATTGAGTAACAAATACTGTGTTTTCCCAAAGATCTCATGCTGCCAGGCGTGGTGGTGCCTTCAAGTGGTCTCCCAGATGTGAAACAGGGCGACTGCTGTGCTGTTACAGTAGTGAACAACCGGTATGTAATGATAAAAGATTCCCTTAAAGACTTCTGACATGTTCATCAAAGATTTAAGTGTGACACTGTTCCTCTGGTTGATTACAGAGCTCCTGTTGCAGTTGGCACTGCTGCAGTGTCCACTGCAGAGATGCATGGTTTGGGTATGAAAGGGAGAGGAGTATGTGTTCTCCACGCATACATGGATACTCTCTGGTGAGTAGCGTCCCACTTTCTGCAGATGTAGCCAGGATATGGTTAACTTAGCTTAGCATAAAGACTGGTAACAGTAGGAAATGGCTAGGCTGGTTCTGTCTGAAGGTTAAATAAAATGTGTATACTACGTCTAAAAGCTCACTAATTACCATGTTGTATCTTGTTTGTTTTGTCCTCCTGAAGTGTAAAAACAACAAGCTGTGGTTTCATAGGGTGTGTGTGGGACTGTTTGTTGGCTGGGTGCAGTGACTTCCTTGAGTCTCCTCATAGAAGAAAGAACACTTTAATTAGTGTGCTGTAGAAGTTCTGGTAGGCGAGTTGTGTGCCTCTATTTCCAGTCTTTATGCTAAGCTAAAAAAAACTAGCTGCTGGCTGTAGCCGGTTATTTACCAGACTCAGCAAGGAAATGGATAAAGACATTAACAGGATTCCCTGTGCAGCCCTTCAGTCGAATAAACCTTGTGCCTGTGTTTTTGTACACTGTTTAGGGCTTTTGGAGACAAGTCGGGTCCTCCATCTTTACCGGAAGCAGAGAATGAAGGACAAGGGCTGAATGGAGAAGAATATGAGGTCAGTGAGGAAGAGGAGGAAGAAGTTGAGAAGTATATGGAGGAGGAGCAGAGTCCCAGTGAAATGGTGAAGGATCAAGCCTGTTCTGGTATTGAGGAGCTGAGTTTGGCTGAGCAGGAGGAAGAGAAGGGTCAAAGGGACAATGAGGAAGAGGAGGGAAATGAGGATGACAAGAAAATGCCACAAGGTAACAGTTTTAGTCACATCTCTGATTATATCTCTGAGGATTTAATTTAAAAACTATTTCAAGTTATAGGTTTGGCATTGAAGTACTTACCATCACAGTTGCACTGAATCGGCTTTTAATAAGACTCAGCCTCACGTTATCCCAGATTTGAATCAAATTGAGACATTCACTAAATGGTTGCAGGGCAGGCTTTAGTTGCTTTGTTGATACAACTGGAGAAAAAGATTTTCTGATGTGGCGAAATTGGAACGTATTCAGAGAGAAAATGATGTGACCCAGGTTGTACCCTGATTCCACAGAGATAATGGACGCCCTGCTGTTGCAG